TTTGTGTGTGTGCATATATATATATATATATATATATATTTGCTACTTAGTATTAGCTGAATAATTTAGTTCTTTATTTAAAATAGCAAAAACCAAAATAATATGCTCGTATTCATCACTTTTTATTGATAATAGTTTACTTCTTCTTCTTAATGTTTTAGGACAATTATAGAACTGCATTGTTCTTGAAAAGATAACTCATTTGGTAAATGATCACTTTATAAGTAGATATCATTTAAAACTGAAATTTTTCTTCATTATACGAAAGAACCTTGCCTGAAATATGAGATATTATGGCCTGGTTTAGCTTGGTAGACATAGGAATGGAGAGAAATAGTTAGGTTCAGGAGATAATGAAGCAGGTAAAACAGTGGGAATAAAACAATAGTAGAACATAGCAGGGGGAGTGAGAAGAATCTAGGTGAGACTCAGGTTTACAACTTTGGTAGTGAGTGGTGAAAGTTCTACAGGTTGATGAGAATCAGATTTAACGAAATAGGAGATAGCTTTGCACCCAAACAACAGATAGCTCATTAAAGGTCCGACGTTCTGAAGAGTCATAAGCTTGCAAGTCTTATGGCACCTGAACTAATCTTTCCAAATCATAGACTTCCCATTTCCACATTCAGATATCACATACATGGGTACTTTAAATACATCTCTAGTAAGGGTATTTAAAATAGTCACTAGATAAGAGTTTTTCCATATATAAAATGTGGCTGAGATTTCTGCACCATTCCATATGTAGCTCCTGTACTATGCATTAGACACAGAATTTAAGCACTGGATTTTTTAATATCTAATTTGCCTGATTAGTGGTTAGATAGAATCAAATTGCCTTTACACATGTCAGCATTTCCTCTCAAAGGCCTAAGAAAGGTACTCTAACCCAGGACTCCAGTCTCTCCTGTCTGTACAGAAATCCTCCCATATCTGCAGGTTTGCTTGACTTAGTTTCAGTTACCTTTGTTTAACCATGATCTGAAAACATACTGAAAAATTCTAAAAATAAATAACGCATAAGTTTTAAATGGCATGCTGTTTGGAGTAACACGGTGAAAGCTCGCACTATCTCAGTATCCCATCCTCCCTCCAGTGTGTCCCCACTATCCAAAGTTCATGCTTGTTACTTATTCCCTGCTTCAGTTGTCACTCTGACTGTCATAGTGTAACAGTGATTATGTGAGGTAACTCTTATTTTTCTTACTAATGATCCCAAAGTGCAAGAGATGTGATGCAGGCAATTCAGATATCCCAAAGAAAATCTATAAAGTACTTCCTTTAAACTAAAGGCAAAAACTGTCAGCCAAAGGAAAGAAAAAAGCTCACATGCTAAGCTTGTTATGATCTAAGCTAAGAATCACTTTATCTATGAAATTATAATGAAGGATGAAAATTATAGCTAGTTTTTCTATTTGCATTTTAAGTTGCAAATGTTATGGTTACAGTGCTTCGTTGAGATAGACAAAGCACTGAATCACATGGCACTGAGGTTTCCATCATCCACCAGGGGCTTGGAATGTATCCCCCATGGATAAAAGGGAACTGATGTATTTCAGTGTAAAAGGTGATGTCACAGATATTTGGCCAATCAGCTTTCCTCAGCAAATGTTAGTGTAAACCTCTGCAGAGGGCACAAGAATGAAAAGATTTGAACGATCATAAAAGGCTCCTTCCAGTCACCTCTTACTGAGAGGCAGTACTTATCAGAACTCTGAGATCAGACCGTATGAAAATAGAAAATGTGCCAGATTTCTGGCCTAATTGTCATCACGAAATGATGCTCACACCTTACTATAGTTATTGCTGACTGCATGTGAACCTGCAGATATTTTGCCTTATATGCAAACCTGATCGTGTCACTTCCATTCCCTCCATCATAGCAGGTTCCAGTCTAACAGAAAACTTTCTGTTCTTCAGCCCTGCTGAGCCCTACCAGGCTCTGGTATGCACTGTTCCTTCTACCTTCACTCATATGCTGCCTAACACATCCTCTTCCATCACTGACTGCATACTACTTAACAGCAGAGCAAGAACAGCCCTGCTTCACGTTCTCCTAACACCTTTTCGATGTTCTTACTATCCCTTCACCCTTCACCATTAGAATGACTGTTCAATTGTGAGTTAGCCTACAAGGCTGAAAACTTAGTATGGGAGGCTTAGGAAAGATTGGGGATGGGAAAGGAGGGACAAAGTGGGTAGATCGAGAAGCTGGCAGGCTTAATTTTAAGACGATATTTTTTGGACATTTTAACTTACAGATTTAGATGTGTCCTACAATTGAGAAAGTTCTGTGGTAGCAACTAGCCAGCAGGCAGTTTCGTCATTGCTCTCACTACCTGGATTCCTGCAAATATTATCATGGTTATTTGTATTGTTTTATCTTTCATTCTGTGCCATGTATTATTAGTAACAATCTGTTGAATTTAGTACTTAAATTGTTCATTTTTTATGAAGCTTACTCTATTATTTGGTATTAAAATAAGAAAGTTATGGGTATAGAAATGCATAGAAACAAAGCAGCAGGACATATATTTAGTATCTGTGAAACAAATGTTTGTCAGAAAAATGGCCACAGATCTGTGTTTTATAGAAAAGCGATACCAAGAGTCTTGTGGAATCAAAGAATGAAAGATACCCCCAGAAGAAGAATGCTACGTTTGACTACCCTGGTGTTTGCAAAGGATTGCCTATCACAGGCCAAACAAGACAACTGAAGGTGTGAGAAACTTTCAGATCTCTTGGAATAAAAAAGAAAGCATTTCAAAGTACAAAGTTGATGTGACTTATTTACGGGTGTTGTAGGATTATCAGCAAGCTATCTTAGGCAAAAGGAGAACACTTAATTACTTAGACATGACTAAAAGATGCTAACCATAAAGCATTTGTCTAATTGCCATATATATGTGTGTGTGTGTGTGTGTGTGTGTGTGTCTATATATATGCATAAATGACATGTATTTGAAAAATACAGATAAGAATTACACGTTTGAACATACTGCTATAGGTATTCAGTGGGTGGTAGGCTCATTTGTATTCATCATCAAAACTAATAAATGCTGTGTTTAACAAAAGTTACTAGTACCTACTATGCTCCAGGCATATGTAGGGACTAAAGATAAATGAATTCAACACAGAAAGGCAACAGTTATCTACTACTAGTATATGTAATAAACTGTTACCAACACAAGAAGGGAAGTGGAGGCCAACTACAGAAGTAGGAAAATTATTAACCTGCTGTAGATGAGGTGGGCGTGAGAGCAGCCAAACTTCCCTGAAGTGTAGACTGAGCAAAGCTAGCTGGCTTTCTGACTAGAAGCCCCTCAAACAGAGGCCAGGAAGGGCTCCCCTCACAGGCAACAGCTGGGGTGAGCTGGAGGAACAGCGGCGGTGTGTCAGGAAGAAGTTCAGAGTAATGACAGCAAAAAATGTTGTGTGTCCAGGATGAGAAAGAGGCTGAAGATGGTAAAGGAAAGAAATGAGGTAGAGGATAGGACACGGCCACACTGGGAGGTCCAGGCATGAGGGCAAAGGCACACAGGCTTGATTCTCTAAGCCAGAGGTCAGCAGACTTCTAATATAATGTGCCAGAGAGTAAAGAATTTAAGTGTTGGGGGCTGTAGGTCTCCGACACAATTTCTTGACTGTACCACTGTAGCACTAATGCAGACATAAAGGAATCATTGTCACTGAATTATTTGTGGAACTTCACTTTTTCTTCAGCAAATTACCTATGGCTCTCAATTGCTGATAAAACACCTTCATGTTTATATTCCTATTTAATTAAGAAAAGATATAAAGAATTTAAGCAGATACCTGGCTTCTCCTGTATCCAGTCAGACAACCACTTTAAATGGCAGTCACAGGTCCATGGGTTCCCATGCAGATAAAGGCTTTCTAGGTCAGGCATGTAAGAGACCATCTCTTGAGGAAGAAAGGTCAGGAAGTTATCTGACAAGTACAGGTACTTAATGAAAGATGTTTTAAATATCTGAAGGTAGCGCAAGGAAACAAATGTATCTGGATGGAGTTTAGTGAGCCGATTTCCTTCCAAATGTATCAGGCGGAGAGATGTGAGTCCATAAAAAACCTCTGGGTTTATAAACTCAATGTTATTGTGGTCCATATGCAACCGAGTTAAGCTCTTGAGACCATTAAAAATATCTTTCTGAAGTTTTTGGACTTTATTATAGCTCATTTTTAAGACCTATGAATAAAAAAAGAAAACACACTATTGTCAAAGAAATTCACACAAAAGGAGAAAATTCTGTTTCAATAATGAAACATGTTGAAATTAATCCAATGTGATGGAAACATCTTGTTAGAAGTCCAATTCTAATAAATTAGTTGCTAATTTTATACAAGAAACTAGAACACTCAAATTTTTTTATGTTAAGGAATTGTTAAAATTACAATAATATTGTGGTTATTTTTAAAAGATCCTTTAATTTAAAGATATATATTGAATTATAAATGAAACATGATAGTTTGGACTTGTTTAAAAAGGATTCGATGGGGCCGGGGATTCAGCTCAGTGGTTCCGCTGCCTGCCTCGCAAGTGCAAGATCCTGAGTTTGATCCCCAGTACCAAAAAAGAAAAAAGAAAAGATTTGGTGGAATTTAGTGCACAGTGGCATACAAGTAACTGGCAACCAAGAAGAACTTTATCCCAAATGATACCTGGAAGTACAGTATCAAACCAAAGGTCCCTCAGAATCAGCTGAAAGCCTAGTCAAGAAAATGACGATGTAGCTATGTAGAGAATGCCATGAAAGATATGCAATATGTATTCCAAACAGAGCCTGATTAAGTTAAATCAACAAAGGCATTTAATATTCTGTAGTATATTATTCCCCACCATGGTTAAAACCTTCCTCATGTAGCACTACAATGATATCAAGAGTCAACGAGTGCTAATGTTCATCTTTTATAAGGGCATTATTGCCTTTATTTTATTACACCGTATCTATTTTATGAAGAGTTCTGTCAGGCATTTCTTTCTGATTTAAAATCAGAAATCACAATGCTTTTCCTGAACAGTAGTCTTATTTATTTTTAAAAGTGTAGTAGATTATAGATTCTCAAAAGCTTCAAGTCCTACTTAGAGCAGGCTAAAAAGTTTCTATGTATACATTCCTCTGTATTTACTTCCCTCATCTCATCCTTAGACTTGTTTTACCTTTTAGTTTCTCACTTACTTGTGTGGTAATTCTTATAAGACTTTATGCATTATTGGGAGTCCCTATAACTTTAAAAATTTTCAAGAAGGCAGAGTAGAAAGAAGTAAAAGTGATCATGACGAAAACAGTGTACTGACTTATAGGAAACTAATATCTAATATAGTCGTTTTTAAGTGATCACATTCTAGTGTTAGATGAGATATAACCTTTTAGGATTAAATCTTAAGGATTTATTAATCTGGGAGTATTGGTTTTTTTTTTCCTGTGCCTTAGCTGGAGATAAGAGAAAACTGGTCTCAGAATTTTCCTGTTATTCTAATTTCCATATATGGTTGCATTAAAACAGCAGGCAGTTTTTTGGTTCTTCCTTGATGTCTGTTTCTAATCTAATAAGAGTAAACAGAATGTATACTCTTAGATTTCAGAGGAGGATGACTTTTAGAGGACCATTTCTCAGGTCCACCTCACCTCTTTAATCCCCCACTCCCACCAGGGTCACCTGCAGAGCCTGTAAATCCGAGAAGGTCTTGTCAGCGATGGTGTGAATGCCATTACTGTGCAGCATGAGTAACTCCAATTTATTCAGGCCAGAAAAATCTGTTTCTGTCAATCTAATCAAGCTGTTGAACCTGAAATAAAAATGTCAGTCTTGGCATAAGCTAAATCCATTCATTGAAGTTCTAAGGTGAAACACACACACACACACACACACACACACACACACACACACACACACACACACACATCCAATGCTTTCCTTGTGCCCTAAAGAGTTATTCAAATCCTTGAAATATTATATAATCCATTCACCAGATTCTACTGAAGGTCACTTTGCCCTATTCAGTCTTTCAGTCTGAATTTCAGTTAGCCCCTCCACAATCCTGGAAAGCACCTCATTCATTCTCATTTTCAAATCTTTATGCGCACAATGGAACTTCAGTTTGGATTGCCTTTGACTCTATCCTTTTCTATTTGTGAACATTAAGATCCAGGCCAGCCCTGACGTACTCAGGTGGAATTAATTTCTAGTGAACTTAGTGGCTTATGGTCTGGGTGTGGCTATAAGCTTAGGTGCTTAAATTTTGTGCTTCCCCAAGTAAAATTGGGAGACTTTCTGTGTCTGTTTCCCCACTTATAAAGGGACGTTAAGAGAACCTACTCCAAAGTGTTCTGAGGTTTAAATGAGTGACTATATATGGAGTGCTTAACCCAATGCCCCTACACAGTAAGTACACAATTAATGTTGGCCATTATTTTTGGTTGTTGTTCCCAAGGCACTTTGTATACTGTTACAGTTCGTTTTAAATTGTGTCTAAGTGCATCTGTCTTCCCTTTTCCGCAATAGCTTCTAGAGGTGAATAATGTCACTTATTCATCATTATGTCCCCAGTGTCAAACTTGTGCTTGATATTAAGTACATGCTCACTAATGTCACATAAGTACTTTTACATGAACCTTTAAAATATAAGCATCTTTTGAAAAATTTAATTAGGCAAGAATCTTAAATAAACCACTAACAACAATGGTAACATTAATTGGGTACTTACCATGTCCTGGCATTTATACATCTCAAATGGCCTACAGAAGAGATAGCAGACTTTTCATATCTTTCACAGAAAGGACAATAGTTCCAGTTGCCCTGTCGTTTCTCACAATATATCATAACGCTTATTCCTACCTGGTGCTATATTATTTTCCAATAAAAATGTATCCAGAGGGAAGCTCTTCTACAACCATGAGCTTCCCAACCTGGTAAGAAGGATCTCAGGTTTTAGATTTTATTCGACTAACAGATTAGCAGAAAGAAATGTGCACGTTGTTCCCCCAAAGCAAGCTCATTTCAAAAGAAAAAACAAGCAAACAAACAGTTGTGGTTAATCTTCCAAAGTCACTGGGCAGTGACTCATCTGCTCTATCCCTCTCTGAGAAAGGGATTAGACCGGGTCCCACGCACCCTAAATTGATGCGTTCCACGTCAGGCGGTATGTTGTTTGGGACGGAGGTCAGGTACCGAAAGGTGCAGTGGACTTCTGTGGACAGGTAACAGGCACAGCGGCGAGGACAGGCCCTGCTCCCAGGGGCGGCCACCAGGCACACCGCAGTGAAGGAGACCAGCAAACTCCCGATTTCCCTTCCTCTCACCTTCATCCTGAAAAAGCATCACACTTTGGAGTCACAAATGGTCCAAGCAGTTTCACTACCTAGCATCTCTGGGAATGCTGGGGACCTACATTAAAGTTCCTACGTGGCTAATTTCATTCAAATCTATATAAAACTATAGGGTGTTCTGGGCTCACACTGAACCTTATGATCAAGTGGGATATTTATTGCTGAGAAAATTTCTTTTCAGCTTCTTAATGAAAAGCAGCAATCTCTATCATGCAAAGATTTGTTAAAAGGGAAACTACAGAGCATCATGAAGATATTGTGACAACCCAAGTATGTAAGGTTTCGTTTCCTATTATACAAGAGTCCTTTTGGATTAACTTTCCAAAGACAAAAACAATACACGGGTATCTTAGAAAATAAGGAAACTCTAAATAAATAAAAAAAGAAAAAATAATCTCCACTCATATAATCAGCATTTTGCTGTATTCTTTTCCAACCTTTTTGTATATTGTATGTATATAAAGGCATACATATGTCTATATATTTTCAAATTTAGTTTTATAACATTGAAGCATTTAATGTATAATGTGTGTTTTCTTATTTGATTAAATCTTCTTCAAAACATTTTTAAGGGCTGGGGATTTAGCTCACTGGTTCTGCTGCCTGCCTTGCAAGTGCAAGGACTTGAGTTTGATCCCCAGTACCAAATTAAAAAAAATTTTTTTTAAAGTTGTAATAGTCCACTGGAAAGAAGAATAAATTTCTTTCTAACATGCCTTCATGTCCATGCCAAAAAAGACACATTGGACATTTCTCTGCCAACTAGTGACCACAGCAGCAGCAACTGACTGGCTGGGAGGCCTTGAGGCTTGGACCTGAAGTGCAGCCCCCAAGCTGACCTCTTGCAGGCATGATGCTGTCTCCTTTGGCTCTGCTTAGAAACACCCCGCTGACTCTTTCCTTGGTCCTTTCTCCCTGCAACGTCTGCCACAGGCGTGGGGGAGCATAACCAAGGAAGAAGTATGTTCATCTTGTTGGAAAAATGGTATCTGTTACCCACATGTGAGGGAAACCTAGATATGCAAACTTAATTCTCTCCTAAAATTCAAAACATACAGGCTTGCAAGGAAATCTTTATCATGCTTTGCAAACAAAAGTGACCTAAATAACGTATAAAGCCTAGTATTCCTTGGAATAGGATTATTTTGGATTTTGCTAGTAACCACCCTTCAGCTATGAAGTATGCTAGAAATAATACAGGTGTTGAATTGCTTATACTTTCATAGCGACACAAAAATAGAATTTGGAGTTTAGACCAAATTAAAATGTAATAGAGTGTTAATCATATGACCACTTTTGACGTTGGAACCATTTGCTTTGGAGACAGAACTTCCACCTGCCTATGATTGGACCGAGAAAGGAGGAAGGAACGTGGGGACGACAGTGTCTCTGTTCAGCTAGAAGACAGAAGTTCTGCATGTGCCCACGTGTGAGTTATTTAAGCATGAGAACATATGGATTCAGGACACAAACCTAACCCTAAACATATGCACGATGAAACAGGAATCGACAATACCTGAGCTCTTCACTCTTGGTCCTGAATCCTCTCGTGACGCGGAGAGAGAGAAATCTTCTCGGGAAATGGAAAACCGAATCCAGACCTGAGGGAGGAAAAGTCCTGGCTCCCAAAGTAAGCAAACGGCTGATAATTTTTGGCTTGCTGCTCAGAAGTCACACTTTTCTCACAGTGGTGGAGGCGCTTCGGTAATCGCAGGTACTGCTGTTGCCAAATGAATCCAGAAGCGTTCCTTTATTATAATGCTTGTTTTTATTGTGGTTGGAAGCTTTAAAATCCACCCCTTCCCCCCCACCCCCCACCCCCAGTGGGGTGCTTCAGTTCTACTTAAAGTTAATTGTTAGGAATAATTGTTGCTATTACTCCACCTTGCCCTTAGGTCCCAGGAGTATCTCCTCAAATTGCCCTTTTTGGACAGACAAGTCACACGTGCATTCGTGTCTACAGTAAGGGTCTTCGCCTAACTGATGCTCTCTCCTGAGTGTGTTTCTTCCTGCCACCCATCAATGAAGTGACTTGGACCTGTTGGCCGTCACCTGCCCGTCCCCCTCCGGCGCCCTCCTTCCTCCCCCGACCTCCACCCC